CAGACGCGCGGACGAGTCACAGAGCGCGCAATCTGACAGACGCGCGGACGAGTCACAGAGCGCGCAATCTGACAGACGCGCGGACGAGTCACAGAGCGAGCAATCTGACAGACGCGCGGACAGAGCGTGTGACTCTGTGCGAACATGTTCCTAAAATGAAAGCTGTTCTATGTGTGTGAGAATATACTGAGATCTTATCACTGTGGTTTTGTTAATCACAAACAGGGAATGTAATACCTGTCAAGGAAGGCTGTTAGTCTGCTAAAAATTCCAGCACATAAAACACTTACTTGCTCTCATGATGACATTTCAACTGAAATTGACAAGCAAAAGCCCTCAAATAGCAGGGAATTTAATTAGCAGCCCTCAAATCCCCACGCCCCCTGCCCCTCCCTCCCTCCCTCCCTCCCTCTGTCTCTGACTCTCGCTCTCTCCCCATTACGCACGAGAGTTAGGCTTTGCTGTGCTGCTGATGCTATGTGCGCTTTGCAAAGATACAATCATTAAAGAACCATGCCCGTGTGTTCTGACAACGTTCGCTCTCACAAACACAAACACATGACTCATTTCCTTAACTGGACTCATTTCCAGTTAATTGTATGAAAAAAAATCCCTTTTAAGATGCAGATCGAAAAAATAAATTTAAGAATCCCTGACTAAACCACCTGGCTAGTAAACACCAGTTTCTCTCTGCCACCAAGGCCACAGAGACAACGGCTGACCCTAAACCATGTCTCATTTAGGCTGATCTCAAATCCCTGCCTGAAAACCAGTCTGGCTTAACGGTGGAGTTAACGACCTCCCCGCTGCCCCCCCGGCCGGGGTCTGTGCTATTTCCCACAGGCCACCGCCCCATCATCTGATGTCTGGGTCCCCTTCCCATACACAACGGCGATGTTTACCAGTCTGGGAGCCACAAACAGTAACTACACTGAAGCAGCATATTCTGCTAACTAGCCAGCTAGCTGTGATCTTCTGACTATACTCACCATCAATTTAGTTTTTGAAACATCTGTGGGCGGAGCCTCAGATGTTTCTGGGGCCCTAACTTCAGTAGGGCCCCAGAGATAATAATCTCGCCCCTGCCCATAAATTTACCTCCATCTACACCTCTACTAGGACACAAATGATCCGGTTTTCTTAAAGCATGAGATTTCACACTCCATCGGAAATATCTCCATTGCATTTTCATAGTAAATCAATAATCAAGCTTATTAGGACCACCAGAAAAAATGCCTTCCATAACGCTTTCTCCAGATGAGCAGGTAGGGGTTGCCCTGCAGGAGAACTGATAAGAATCTGGCTGGGGTGGCTGAACGGGGGGGCCTGCGGGGGACCGTCCAATGCAATCAGTCGCTCGGGTTGGTGCACTGCGAGGGCGGTGCTGGAACAGATGGCTATCAAGCCATCACTGTGCAGTGCAGTGCAGTGCAGTGCTTTCCATGCATGACTCATGCAGACACACACAGGCGACACATTTCAGATAACTCTTTAACCGGGAATTCTCCCAGACGAGCCCCCTGACGAAAACGGCAACAAAACAAACTCAATAAAAACGAATGCATGACAGGCACATCCCAGGCCAACTGGTCGATGATCACAGGAATCTGGACCTGCTCCCAGCCCTCCAGATCTTGGCCAGACAGACTTGTAGGACCATTTACTGAAAGCTGACTTGTCCTCCAGTGACCCTGAGCTACAAAGTGGCAGCTGCACCCTTTCCCTCCTGCTCTGGGTGGGCTGGTTCTGATCACCTGACCAAGTGGGTCATTACTCACCTTCTCCTTCTGAATTTCACTCTTGATGGAGGAGATCTTCATCTTCATCTCCTCGATCTCATGCTCTGGTAGCGTCTGCACAGGAGGACATGAGTCTGAGTCGTCCAGCGTCTGGAAGGTCAGGTCGGCCAGCGGAATGTACCACTTGCAGTCATATTGTTGGTGTTTCCTGCAGGTGTGGGGGGGAGGGGGGACAAGAAAGGGGGTCACACTGGAACTACATCTACAATGTGATATTAAATAGAAGACATTGAAATATTTGAAATTTTTGTGATTAATATTGCAATATTTATAACATAAAAAAGGATTTTTTTTAATTTTCAATTTACCTGAAATGAAATAAAGCCAAATAGAACTAAGAAATAAGTTGGTATTGTTGCCACAAATTGTCAACAGACACAGAGTAGTGCCAAAAAAAACCCTGCATTTTATTTCTGTGGAATACAAGATATTTTCATACTGCAGAAATTGAATGCCTTTTGGTGACCAATTCAAGATTGCTTTTCTCCCCACTCATTTTTGTTAAATACCTCATAAAGGTGCCTTACTAACGTAGTTATGAATGCCTCCAACAGAAAGGACACAAATGATTAAGATTGACTTGAAGAGCACATGCAGAGCTCATGCAAATAGAGTGGAATTAAAGGTTAAACTGATTTTTTTTTAACATATACTACATTATCTGGAAACCATAATTAAAATTGCAAGGCTTGCTAAGTTTTGATCCCTATGACAGAGTAAAACTGTTTTAGCCTAACATGTTGTCATATCCCGGCTGGCTCTCTTGGTCCTTGCAATGTGAAAATTGCATGTGTATAACATGCAATATCAATATTAATATGGCACATTTTGCAGCTCTATCCAAAATGATTGTGATTGGTGGTTCACTGTGCATGCAGAACCTGCATGTCACTCACTAGCAACAAACTTTGCGTATCCAAAAACCCTTAAATCAGAATACATTGTGCTACATCAGACAGACTCTTGAAGACTAGTTATGGAAAATGAGAGCCAAGTGAGTTTTTTTTTGTTTTGAGCAGCAAAAAGTTGTAGCATGACCTGTTTGATTAAAATTTGCCCTATGTGGCATTGCAGATCATGCAATATGATTACTCAGCATGTGCACATCACTATGACAATGCTGAAATGATAATCCATGCAGCCCTAATCTTCAAACAATCACCGGCAATAATACTGCCAGTTAGAATATTTGTGTCTGTGATCACAAGGTCACCGATTCAAATTCCATTGTTGGGCCCGCAAGTAAGCCTTAACTTGCAACTGCTCCAGGGACTGGCTAACCGTGCTTTCTCATACATGTATTGCTTTGAACAAAAGTGTCTGCTGTATAAATAAAATGTAAATGCACAGGGGTTAAACAATGAAACGAAACATGAGCCAAAATAGTGCTTGAGGTTTCACACCCACAGTCACGTGCAAAAAGATTTTAAGCATCAGGACATAAAACAATTATCTGGTCCTTAGCAGATCTTAAAATTAGGTCAATAGAACCTCAGATGAACACCACATAACATATTACACCCCATCATTATTTATTTAACAAAAACTAAGCCTAAATGCAGAAGCAGTGTAAAAAATAACATACTTCCTTACCGCTTTAATAGGATTTAAGAGGGTAAATAGCAGCCAGGTGCTGCTAATCAAATGCACTTGATTAATTGATCAGTGAAACCACCTCCATAAAAGCAGAAGTTCTGGCAGTTTGCTGTAGCATTCAGGTGTGTGTTAACACAATGCCAAGGAGGAAAGACATCAGCAATGATCTTAGAAAAGCAACTGTTGCTGCCCATCAACCTGGGAAGGGTTATAAGGCAATGCTCAGAGAAATTGCAAAAACTGAAGAGCTACATCTCAGACTCTACAGACCATACAATTAGAAGGAGACCGAACAAGTATGGCTTGTTTGGAATGTTTGCCAGGAGAAAGCCTCTTCTCTCTAAAAAGAAAATGGCAGCACGGCTTAGGTTTGCAAACCACAAACCACAAGACTTCTGGAACAATGTCCTTTGGATAGATGAGACCCAAGTGGAGATATTTGGCCATGATGCACAGTGCCATGTCTGTGCTTTGTTTCTGCCATGGCAGAAACCAAGCACAGCATATCAACACAAACACCTCATACCAACTGTCAAGCACAGTGGTGGAGGGGTAATGATTTGGGCTTGTTTTGGAGCTACGGGACCTGGGCACCTTACAGTCATTGAGTCAAGGATGAACTCCTCTTTATACCAAAGTATTGTACAGTCAAATGTGAGGCCATCTGTCTGACAGCTAAAGGTTGGCTGAAACTGGGTCATGCAACAGGACAATGATCCAAAGCACAGCAGCAAATGTACAACAGAATGGCTGAAAAGAAAAGAATCAAGATGTTGCAATGGCCTAGTCAAGGTCCAGACCTCAACCCAATTGAAATGCTATGGCGGGACTTTAAGAGAGCTGTGCATAAACATGAATGTCCGCAAACCTCAATGAACTGAAGCAGTGTTGCAAAGAGTGGGCCAAAATTCCTCCACAACGATGTGAGACTAATAAAGTTATACAGAAAACGATTACTATAAGTTATTGCTGCTAAAGATGGTATTGCCAGCTATTGAGTACTTACTTTTTCACGCATGGAGAAGCTCATTTTGGCTTTATTTTTGTTAAATAAATAATAACATAGTGGAATCTGTTGTGTGTTGTTTTACACCTGAGATTAGATTTAAATAATTTTAGAACCTGGTAAGGACCAAATAATTTTTATGGTGTGATGCGTGAAAGAGGGTGTTCTTTCTTTTTCATGTGACTATATTTGTGTGGCCTGGTGGCCAGTCTTCATTGATTGCACATTCCATCAGTAAGAGCAGTGTGAGATGGTTGAATTAGCAGAGCAATAGCATGGCTGTATATAAAATAATGACGTATATATAGAGTTCAAAAGAGGAGAAATCGTTGGTGAGCATCTTGCCGGTGCATCTGTGACTAGGACAGCAAATCTTTGTGGTGTATTGAGAGCTATAATATCCAGGGTAATGTCGACATAGCACCACGATGGATGGACCATATCCAGCAGGAGTAACTGTGGATGCTAGTGGAAGCTGTCTGAAAGGGATGTCCTGGCACAAACCTGGATTGTATCCAAACAACAGCTACCCAACTCACTGCAGAATTAAATACGCACCTTGACTCTACCGTTTCCACCAAAACCGTTCGTGAGGAGCACCATAAGGTCACTATTCATGGTGGAGCTGCTACAGCCAAACCTTTGTCACTCATGCCAATGCCAAACATCAGTTTCAATGGTGCCAGCAGTACAAATCTTGGGCTGTGGATAATGTGTATCATTTATTGTTCTGATAAGTCCACCTCCACTGTCTTTCCCACATCCAAGAGTGTTACGGTGTGGAGAAGTCCCAAGCAGGCTTACCACCCAGACTGGTTTGTACTCAGACTCCATCATGGGGGTGGATCGGTGATGGTTTGGGCTGCAATATCATGGCATTCCCTAGGACAACTACTTGTTCTAGATGGGTGTGTCACTGGCTAGGATTTTGGAACCATTCTAAAGGACCATATTCAAACATTCAAACGTTGTACCCTGAAGGTGGTACCATTTATTAGGATGATAATGCACCAATACACACAGCAAGACTGGTGGGGGAGTGGTTTGGTGAACATGAATGTGAAGCTGAACATCTCCCATGACCTGCACAGTCACCAAATCTGAATATTATTGAGCCACATTGGGGTGTTTTGGAGGAGTGAGTCAGGAAATGTTTTTCTCCACCAGCATCATGTAGTGACCTGGCCACTGTTTTGCAAGAGAAATGGCTCAAAATCCCTCTGGCCACTGTGTAGGACTTGTATTGGTCATTCCCAAGACGAACTGATGCTAACGGAGGTCCTACACCATATTAATAAATTACTTTGGTCTAAAACAAGATATTTCAGTTTCAATGTCTAAGCCCTGTAAGGAGATACTACCCAATCAGTACAGAATCAACAGCAGGGGGTGGGAGACTGAAGCGGAGGACAGCGAGCAGGGGGACACCCTGGCTGGGATGCTGCTCCATCACACAGCAGTTATACTGTCACTCTGACATGTACGGATGCCAACAGCAGACAGCAGTCTGGATATACCCAGCACAGTCAATACTGTCCAAACAGCATAGCTCCACAGTCGAGCGGCCTCGGATCAGAACCCCACGCCAAATTCCCAGATCAGTCCCCATTTATCAGACACTCCATCAGTTCCGGTTACAATGTGATGATCTAAACACCATCACTGCTGAGGCCGCCATGCTCTGATTAATGGCTCACTTACCAGACAATAGAGCAAAGAAGTGGAAATACTGGCCTTAAATAGATTAGCCTGACATCACAACTATTAAAGTGGAGGAGGGGGGAAACTCTGGAATGTGCAGTATGGAGTTGGGGAGGGTGACTAACACAATTCCGGTCTGTGAACATCAAAATAATGGTTGTTTGCCAAGAACATAACCACAATCACTGAGTTTGTTCAGCTTAAATTTCACTTGACAATTATAACAATACTTGCCCAGCAGTATGAGGGCTGAGAGGGAGTTGGCCCTGCCTGCACATACCTGCACATGCATGAACATGAACACAGACACGAACATGGACACAAAGGGCAACAGGGAGGAACCCTGAGGACCCAGAGAAGGCCAGCACCCCATGCCCTGACACATTGAAAAGGACAAGCACCCTTAAGCTAATGCTGCACAAGTAAACCAGCAGAAATAAAGCAACTCCAGACAGAGAGGGAGAGAGAAAGAGGGAGAAACACAGGAGGAGAGGGAGATCGAGAGAGAGACTGGGTGGGGGCACCATATTTTCACGCTCAGTGTTAAATTGTCCACTAAGAGGTCGTTCCTCAATGCTCATTGGTCAATATTTGCATTCGCAGAGTTAAGCAGCCAGCTGATTGACACAATAATGGCAAAGTCACCAGAACCTGCCCCTAGGAGACCCCGCCCCATCTGTTTTTGAGACCTCACCAGCCCAAACCTGTCCCACTGGTTCCCACCGAGCTGTCCGGTCCGCATTTTGTTACCAGTCCCTTTGACGACGTCAAACAGACATGGCAGGGATCTGGAGGCTACAGTGATGAGAAAATTGGATTCAGGGAGCCGGGTTCTGCGTGGGGGCAAAGCTCCTGGTAATGCGATGGAGGACGAGGCGGGCTTGGAGGGTTAGAGCACGTGGCACCTTATCTGTCCAAGGCAGCCAAGCCTGCCTGTGAATACAAACAGGACCTCACCCACTGGGTTAGGCCTGGAGAACCTGCGGCGGGACAAGCAGCTCTGAACGCTTCATTTGGACAGCAGCATTTGATTTACTGAACTCGTGCATCCTATGCATCCCAGGCAAGATTTAAAGGGGTAGCGCAAAGCAGATCCAAAGAATGCCTTCTGCCACAGAAGACGTTTGCCCCTTGAATATGCTTTTCACCGGGCGCGGCTTGACAAATGCATGCCAGACATGCTGGCTTCTACTGATGCTCCGGTTCTGGCAAGCGGGAAAGGATCACAGTGGTTCTGCATTTCCAGCACCGCATACCGGTGCTGTACGGACCTTTTAGGAGTCGTAACATTACAAGCAGCGTGTTAACTGAAGAGCGTAAAACTCAAAATAATGTTTGCTAGGGGGCTACCTCCCCCAGGATTCTATCTGCTGTCAAACTGAAGCCTTGCATGGAAATATCTCTCTCTCCCCTCGCCCCTCCCTCCATCCATCCATCCCTCTCTCTCTCTGCCATGACCTGAATGCTGTCTGTCCAACACCTCCATGGTAATGAGACCCTCATGCCCTCCTCTTCCTCTCACAGCTGCAACCCATCTGTGACCCCCCCCCCTTTCTATCAGAGCCCCAGAACATGGCCAGCAAGGGGCAGGGCTTATTGCCCCCTTCCCTTCAGGTATGACGTAGCCTGGAAAAGCAAGTTAGGATGCTGTGCCTGTGATCGGAAGGTCACGGGTTCAAATCTGAGGGTCGGCACAGTGACGTCACTATTGAACCCCTGAGCAAGGCCTCTAATCCCCGAATGCTTCCTGCTTTCTCAAAATGTATGTCACTTTGGATAAAAGCATCTGCTAAATGATTAAAATGTAAATGTATTTATGTAGTCAGAAACAACTAAAATAGCAGCTCCAGATTTAGGTTTTACCGAATAACTGAATAACCAATAACCTGAGTTGAATGCACAGACAGGCCTCTCCTCACCTATGAATCAGTACTCTCAGCCTGCTCTTCTATGTGCTTAATTAGCCTCAGTAATTCATTGGCTTGTAAGATTCGTAATTAGATGTTATGCATATGAATGCAGTTAGCATTCCCAGATATCGAGTGCAGGAAATGTAGTACATTCAGATCATGATTACGTCGGACTGACTGACAGGCCACAAAGACTGGCAGAGCAACGAAATTTAATAGGTTCGACTTTGTTGGGTTTGTGTGCTGCCGTCGAAATTGGATCTTAGTTAGGTTAATTAGCTCCTGTGGCAACACCTGGCAATCCTATGGGGAGACGGACTGAGTGCTGACGTCAAGCCTTCAGTAGCGCTTCAACTGACTTATGTCATACACGTTCTCCCCACGGCCAGCAGTGGCTATCAGTGGTCAACGTTCAGGGCTTATGAAGACAGTGAGTGGTCAGCGATCAATTATCCTGGAGTACCTACAGGCTACACTCACTCAGTTTTAGCACCAGACAGATTTCACTAATCTCACTGAGGGGCTCCCCTGTTTCCACAGGCAGACACCACGAGTGAGCCAGAAGAGAAGCCACTGAGATTCGGACTGTGGAGAACTCGTTGTGTTACTGAAACATGATGGGGTTACACATGGGCTTATGTGGCAGCGTATAGCACAGTAGGACAGGCATCTATGCCCTTATCCAGAAGGTTGTGGGTTCAAATCCAATGGACAGCAGATGGCTGTGTGGCTCAGTGCGGTAGGTCTGTTATCAGAAGGTTGCTGGCTCATATCCCAGGGCTGGAAGAGTGATGTCACCACTGGGCTCTTGACCCAAAACATGTAAGGTACTTTGGATAAAAGCGTCTACTAAATAAATAAAATGTAAAGTGCGCTGAAAACTTGGCAAATGGGCCCCTCAGTGCTGGGTGCAAGACGAGCAGGATGGTGTTGGAGGTCAGGGGACAGGGAAGAGAAGAGCATCCCTGCAGAAGTGTGAAAATGCAGCTCTCGGCTTCCTTGAGGGGGCTGCCTCAGTTATCCACTGCTGCCGCAATGAGGCTCACAGTCCCGACTGGTTTATGCCGTACTACCACACTGGACTAATTATTGTGTCTATAAAAGCGGGTGCTCGGCGAATTAAGCATATCCTGCATTAATTATTAATGCAATTACTGCTGATGCTGAGAAAGCAGCAGCCGAGCAGACAGCCCAGAGGCTAACCCATTTATTTTACATTTACTTGGCAGATGCTTTAATCCAAAACAACTTTAGAAAACAGGGCCAGCCAGTCCCTGGAGCAGCTTGGGGTTAATGCAACATTCAAGCTATGCGCCTTGAACAAGACCCCATCGGTGAAATCACTCTGCCGGCCCTGGGATTTGAACTGGGTACCTTCCAATCACAGGCATGCCACTACACGTTTGCAAGGAGGAAACGTGTGGAGAGCTTAGAAGGTAACGTGCAAATGCTAAAAGACACATGCAAAACAGAGGATATGAGATCACCGCAAGCGGAGTTTGCCTGTCCACCTTGCAGCTGAATTTTCATTCAGTTTATTCTTTTTTTTTTTTCAACCAAGTGCCTTGCAATACAATACAAACAAGTGTATAAAACTGCAAGCAAATATTCTGCAGGTTCGTTAGCAAATTCTGGGACTTTTTTGCCCTGTTGATGGAACCTAGAACAAAAGTGAACAATTGAAAGGTTCTGGAGCCAGCAAACGGCACCGCGGTCACCCACCCCACAGCAGTCTTCTTCATCTTGGCGCAGAGGAGCAGGTCCGTGAACAGGAAGACATGACGTAGCTTCCTGGAGCCCTCGGACACCTCCACCAGGAAGCCATCCTTCACGAGCTGACGAGCCTGCCCAGAAAAAAGCCAATCAGTATCTGCTCTACGCCGGCTGTGACACAGCTTCCTGTTTGACATCCGGCACAGGGCAATTAAACCATAAATATAGACTCGGGTTCAGCCCTGACTGAAAGTCAATGAATCCGATCCTCATCTCATAATGGCCAGATTTCATTATGCTTTTATACAAATCGACTTTTTCCAGACCAGCCACGGCACTGCTATTTACTGTTATCCACTATTTAATTATCATCTTATACTCACTGTGGTCTGAAGGACACCTGCAATTTACAATTCCACACAGCTGGATATCACACTGGTTTCCCCACACAACTGGAAAAATCTTTGACCACTATGCTGCTGGCTGAAGAAGAGCCTTGAAATACCTCAGACCCTCTGCCGGTATGAGGAAAACAAGGCCAGCCAATCTGAACGGGACACTTTTATCCTTGAAAAGCTGCAATACCTCAAGGGCTAATGTTAACCCCTCTGTTTGCAATGCTACATCACGATAAATAACCATTGTCCACAGAGCAGCAGCCTGCCTGCCTCATCACTGTAGTAACATGCTAATAACCCTGTGACAGTCACCGTGCATCTGACAACAGACGGCAGGTGTCTGGCTGAATTCACGTTGCTAGCAAAACGGAGCTGATCAGATCTGGCTGGCGGCCAGGTTTTTTAGGAAATGTAAATGAACTCAGGAACTGGGAGGGGGCAGGGTACAGGTGGATCTCACAGAGACCACAAAAGACTGTTTGGTGTGAGTGTTACACTGGAGGGGGGGGAGGTGGCTCTAATGCAAAGCACATCTGACAGGCAAATGGTATATGGATCACGTCAGCTCTGCTGCCACAATCAGTTAAATTTAGCTGTGATTATCATTATCTGCTAAGCTGGAGGTCAGAACACTTGTCATGAAAAGCTTGATCTAAAGATATTACTAAAGGAAGCTACGGTATATGGACGGCGTATTGTCCACAACCAGACCCTACAGAGGTAGACACAAAACTTCAACTGGCTACTGATGCAATAGAATGTTCTAGTAATATTATAAACACACGATATGGTCAATCCAATCTGCCCAGTCACTTTGAGAAAACTGAAATGGGTGATTTATTAAAAAGACACACAGAGGAAATGAAGGCTTAAAGCTTGATGATGTGTCGTAAAACTAGAAGCCAGGAAGGCACCCAAAACTGTAAAAGAAGAGGACAGGTAGTGACAGTCAGGAGTGACAGGAAGTGTCTGGGACACATGTGTAACTGATGTTCCACTGCAGCCTACTTAAAATATACATGCCCAATCCCATGTATTCCCACTGTGCATCTCACATACGAAAATATTGACATTTTTATTACTTTTGAATCTTTGCACTACCACGTGTCACTTTACTGCCAACTGCACACTTTTAAGGAGATTTATGATGTTGTTTAACGTTTTGTCTCTTCATACTGCCACCACAGTCTTGGAGTGGGGGGCAGCATTTCACTGTACATTGTACTGATTACAACTGTGCATGTGACAAATTTTTGACTGATTGATTGACTGTGTTTCGCACCTGGGAGGAGGACAGGCCAGGAATTGGGGAGACAGGGAGGAAGAGCCCCCGCGCACAGACACACACGTACCTCCCCTTTCGGCGTGGTGACCGCGGTCCTGCGCGGGTCGATCTCCTCATTGATGCTGGACAGGAAATTCTGGGAGATGCGCAGTGCATCTTGCAGCAGGGCGAAGTCGGGGTGGTCCTTGGGCGTGTGCTTCAACAGGTCCTGAAAGACAAGCCATGTCTGAGTTTCGACTGGGGAAGGAGCCGGTGTCCCAAGGAAAAAAAGGCACTAAAAATGGGTCAGGGTTCTGAAGCTCCTGACAGGAGGTTTACTGGTAAAGTGCCAGGCTGTATCCTGGCTTACTGGTCCCAGTGCTCACCTAGTGGGGGAACCACTAACACCTAACTATATATACCCTTGCGGTTGCTGTGTTGGTCACCTTTCTGCAAGGATCAGCGAACCTCTGTTCAGGCTCCCTTTCTCCCTCTCTCTGCTTTATGGAATCACGCTCTTAACTTGCCAGGCTGCAGCCCTCAGTGTTACTAGTGTTACCTTTTTCACCCTCTCACCACTGCATAGTGAAATTAAAAGTACCCTATGGCAGGAGATTCTGATTAAAAACAGGCTGCGTCCTCTGGGAAGTGATGAGCTCATCTCGCCTCCAGCATTACAGCAGGCACTTGCAAAACTGGACCCTTACAGTCTGAAGGAGACACACCCGAGAGAGGACACACGTGTGGAGAGGAATATACTCACATGCAGAACCAGGGTGCTCCGGGTGACGCGGTCGATGGGCTTGTACAACAAAGCTGCAGGGGAGAAGGGGGCACAGGGTTAGAGGGCGTATGGAGGGTGCGGTACAGCATGGCATGCGAGTGACTGTTCATTCACCTCCAGGGTGTGCTGTCTCTCTGTCCTCCCTTACTCATACCCCCGCTCATTAAAAGGCAGCATGTCACTCACATCCCCCTACTGAGTCAATGCTTTTCTTTACCCATGCTGAGCACGTTCCTCAGCATCCAATCCAATGACACCTGAGGTCCATGAAGGTCTCTCCTGCCCTCAACCCCCACCACAGAAATATCGTATCCTCAACGGGTATGGAAGGCTCTTCTGAGGTCAGCACCCCCCATAATGTCCTGACTTCCCCGTGAAGCAGAGACCTCTCAAACGGCCGACACACTCGAACATGACTTTGCTAATGAGTGAACACTGCCTACCTATGTCCTTACAGACCACGTTTCTGTTTGTCTCCCATCCAAAGAAGGTTGTGCCATGGCCGACACATAAAAGTACAACGTGGGACACAATACCCTAATTTCACAACACTGTCACCTTCAGCATAAGTAGCAAACGAGTGCATTTGTTCCTGGAGTAGCAACATGGCCAAATGAGAGTAGACTGAAGTACAGATAAGGTATAATTACAGCATGCGTGGAAGCTCATTTGCTGTTATACAAGACGTGAGGCGTTTAATGTGCAAAGGAGCTCTCTTAATCACCACCTCAGTAAGGCACAGACACTGCAGCTCTCCTTCATTCCCCCGGAGAAAACAAGAAGTCATCGGAGCTCCTGACTCTGCAATCGAATCACAGTAGCGCTGCTTATTTCCCTGAAGACCATGCATTGCATGCATGATCACCCACAGGGCTGAGCCATGTGAGCCGACGTTAAACTTCCCCGCCCAAGCGTGTTTCAGCCAGAGGGTGAAGCCACCAAGTAGAGATAAAGTCGCAAACCTACATATCCACAGGGACCTCCGTTTTTTTCATGCTGATCGACTAACGTTGTCTCTCAAAACAAAATCAAAAATTTCATGCCATGTTATAATAACACACACTAAAGAGGCCCCAGGATAAATTATTCCCTTTAATGTGACACTATTCCTGGAATGTCATAAATAATGCTTACAGTATCAATTTCCTCCTCTGATAAATGAATCTTGCAAAGCTTTTATCCCAACAAATGCAGTTTGCTTGAGGGACTTGTTCAGACATGCAGCCTTGGTAGAAGCTGCATACTGAGCACCAATCTCTGGGACGGCATAACAAATCTCCAAAAGACCAGCAGGGCTTGAGAGAGAATTAAGAGAAATGGCTTGAAAGAATTCCTTGTGTTTTTAATCAGCACCTCCTAACTACAGAATAACATCAAAACTACCATGTGCTTTTTATGAAAATCTAAATCATGATAATATCTTCAGCCCAAGTGCTTAAAGGTCCAAGGAACATATTGCCAAGATGCTCATGGTAACATCATTCATGAATATTTCATAGCATAGCACCAACTAGCAGACAGAATCCCACATAAACTACTGATTGGGCAATTAAAATGAGACTCACCCAGGAGAGCCAGTGGGTGATCATGCCACTGATCACTAATATCAGGCTTTTCATCAGCACTCAAAGGCTTATGGCTGATGCATAAAATCAGGAACCCAACAAGAACCAAGTACATAATCAATTTGTGTCCTCAACAGCATCCACAGATTCTTTGTCATGCTTTCCATGCAGAGCAGGATTAACCTATGAAAAAAATCAAAAGGGTGGTGGTGGGGGGGTCTTATGAGCTAGCAGAAGGCTTGCTATCTTCAGCGTGCAGTTCTCAGTCAGAATGGCACGTTTTCCCAGCTATCAGCATCTGATGCTCTCAGAATATGGCTTTTAGACGCCGCTGGATGCTGCCATTAAAAGCCAAAAGAAGATAAGCTATACTTCTGTGAGCCTAAGCGCTTCAGTTTGGGTAACAGCGAGGGAGAGACACGGAGACCAAGAGCGTCACAGGGCTCATGCTCACACTGCTCTCCTCCACAAGCAGAAACGTAACAAGCTGAGGAACCAACCTCACCCTCTTGCGCGATGGGAACACAGGAACATAGAAGTGGACTCCCACATGAAAAACAAACAATGGGATATGGACCTGAACACCAAAATGGCTTATAGCACCTGGTTAAAGGTAGACAAGAAATGTAAGGGTCAGGAGAAGGTCCTTCACCTTGCAGGGCCAGAAAGAGAGCAAAGAACAAGGAAAAGAGGAGATCTGCCCCAGGCACTCTCAGGGTTCAAAAAGAGATGAGGTGAAAAAGTTCTGCTGACTATGAAACTAATACCAGCAGTCAGGTTGCTTTATGTAGGTTCCATCTCAAGGATATACAGGATTAGTGCAGGACAAGCTTCCCATTGGTAAACTGGATATCGACCATCAGCAGTGAGCTGGAATCAATTGCCCCACTAGCAAATCAGAAGACAGATACAGGACCTGAACATCCATCTCTGCGGGAAGCTGAGGGAACAAGCTTTCTTAAACCCTGCACTACAGATAATCAAAGCCTGGGTGATATGAGACACGGGCTCTCCTTGGAGAAGGGATGTGACCAGCCGGTAGAAAAGGGGGCGAGTGGAAGTAGCTCCAGACTTTGAGACATCACATACATTTAGCGCAACAGAGAAATTAGCAACTAGCTGCGTAATACACCCTGGAAAGCAGTAGCAGAACATGTTTAGTACGCAGGCCAACATTTCACACCAGCCTAGCCTTTCAGCTATTTGGTGTGTTTTGGAGTAACACGCAAGGTTCGTAAGATATGACTGAAGATTAAACAAACAGTGTTTTGCTGTACAGAGGTATTACAAGCTAAAAGGTGAAAAGAGTGGCCCAATCTACTGGTTAGCTACAGCATAACCTGTGGGGAGACAGAGGTGGATTTGGTATCTGGGTCTCTAACAGCTAGAGCCCAGATTTTCAGGCTTGTATGGAAAACCATCATTGATGTTGCCTTTAGATCCAAGTCCATGACTCATTCAGATGTGACTCCATGTGCTGCATTTGAAATTGTGCATCTACAAAATAAAAATGAAATGTTGCTTTTTGATTGCACATTATGAATTCATTATTCATTAAACTCTAAATTAAATATCAATTAGTGTTAGTCCTTCCACTCCCTGAATAAATACAGCTCAAGTCATACATAATTTGCAGCATATCTAAGCAACTTAAACAGAGTAGAAAATGAGCCGGTAGAAAGTCTGCTGCGGGACCTCTCTTCGGGATGATGCTCTAAACTCCAAGCATGTGAAGTGCAACCCATCAAAAGCTTAAGAGGAATGAAACCGGCAAATAAAGCGATCTCCACTGTTTACAGAAGGACTTCATGAGGCTTTGGGATATCTGCTACAGGCCGCTTCATCCGTCTGTCTATGCAGAGTGCATTGCAGTTCTCCAGGGTCTATCCTAGGTATACTGTGGACCAGATTACGGTCTACTGTGGGTCACATAGTAAAGGTAATTCAGACACAATAAGTCATTGCATTTAGATTGTGTGAGGACACGAGATCGTCAAGAGAATGTGGGAAATCCGGAGAAAGAACTTGCAGTAAAGAGGTGTGAGAGCTGGCTGAGTCTCCATGACGACCCAGGGTGTAAATGGGGCCAGTTTCCTATTCATAAAAATGTCAGTCTTGTGTCACACCACAGCTACTAGGCTAAAGTAGCATCCGGTTGATTAGCTCTCCAAGATGTTCTAATCTTTTGGGGGAGGGGGGCACAAATTGGGGCGCGAAAAGATGATTGATCATCTCATTCGTGTGCATGAAGAGCCAGATTCCAAATTGGGGAAAATGCCAGTTACTTGAAACAGTACAAATTGTCAAAAATACAAGGGCAATTATCATTCTGAAGGATTACTGGGAACATTATACAGTTATGTTCTGTGGGCCATCTGTCTTTGTTTTTCCCAGGACACAAAGACGAGTGAGCTAATAAGCCTTATTTCCTCACTACAAGACACAAATACAGACTCAGATTTATCTAGCACGTGCACGTTACTGGCATACTACAAAATCTTATTCATACATATCTGGCGAATGAACATAACATTAATCCACGTGGTCAAACAATAAAAACTTCAATGCCTTGAACCTGCACTTAACCAGGGAAAAAAACACATGTAGAACAAGCCAGAAGCACAACCCTCTATTTCTGAACTGAAAGTACAAAACATGGGCAAAGGACCAGTGTCCATTTGACATGGGATACCGACCTAAACGTGTCCTCTGTATCCATATGATCTGACCTCAATGATCCTTAAATGAAAATGTGCTCACAGTGTTCACCAAAAGGCAAAAGGTCATGTCCAAGCACACACACTTCACACCTCCACTGTCATTCACACACCCTCTCTCGTGACTTCTGACCTGGCCGGTTAACCCTGAGTGATCCTGCCACCATACACTGCAGCTGGACAACAACAAGGGGACCGCGAGAGCAAGCCAAAAAAGCGCGTCAACGGACACCAGTCACAGAGAGATGGTGGATCTCTCCGGCAAACAGCGAGGGGGAAACACCTAAATCACAGGTGCCATGTGGGACGCTGAATCAGCGCCATCCCTGTCCGTTCTGAGAAGAGCAACGCAGTTGATGTCTGAGGAGCATCAGACTCGGGCCACCGTGAGCCTGCCACATCAGCAGCCCTGGTGAGAATGGTGGTTCAGCGGGAGGCACGGCACAAAGCTTGTGGAAGATTGGCAAGTCCAAACGACCCCCGAGATGCTGCTTTCCCCATGGACGACCTGCTGGATTACCGAAAAACGCAGCCTCTGCCTTTTAATACGCGGACCGTCGATCCTCCGGCTACTGCAAAGAACTCCAAAGTGACTGGAGGTCCACATTTAAAACATAAAAAGAAAAAGGAGTAAAAACTCATCACAGGGGCGCGATGGGGTCCCCAGACTCACCATAGGTGCAGTTACAGCAAAGGCGGAGGATCAGCAGCATCTCCATGGCAGCTCAGTTACTGTTGCCGGGGGCCACCTGGCCATGTCTTGCAGCCGGCCGGCACCGCGGGCAGGCGCGCTCTGAGCATGGGGGACGCGGCACGGCCGCCTCAGCCAGCCTCCGCATACACAAGCAGAGGGGCTGGGCTCGGTGGTGTCTTAAAGGGCCGGCGCATCAATTCTGCCCCACCCCTCCTCCCTGCCCCTGCCCACTCTCGCCTGGCAGATGGAGCACCGGAGACGCTCCCTACCTTCCATGGTGACGGAGGAGGTGCTGTCCTTCGAGTCCTTGGGCCCTTTCACTTTAAGGTTCTGCAGGGAGAGACAGAGATTGTACGGGTGATCCGTGGGCCTAAGCTCACCCATTAGACTGGGGGAGGGCCACAACCCACTGTGGGAAAGGAACTGTAGTATGGTCCTGCAGACCAAAACATCTCATGAAATTTCGTGTTCTACAAGGCATACCTAGCCCCCCCAATGGGTCAGGGGAGGGCCAGGGTCTAAGCACACACTGGCACAGTAAGCCAGCGTAAAATTAACCTCCATTCTCCCAGGGGAGCGATTGGAAGCTCACGTCACAGTCGGCGAACTAACAAAGAGGAACTGAAACGCCAGGGCAAGCTCTGGGCTGCAAGCTCACTACAAGAGCTGGGGGGGCCGGGGGGAGGGGGCCCCCATGTGACCTACAGGTAAACGACTCACATGGTTATAAATGATGATCTGGGGAAGCTGGCACTCCCACGCCAAGTGGAACAGGAAGTACAACCTCTAGAAACCACAACATCTCAACCGGCTTTTTTTTCATGCAATTACACAATTTCAGAGCAGAATTGCGACAGTAACGCAAGGCAGGGTGCTCACCTCTGAGATCTTCTGGAACTGCATGTTGGCCTGGCTGCACTTCTCTGCAGTCTCCACAGCCACTTTGTAGTTATCCACGAAGGCTTTGTACACACCAAGCTGACTGGCCTGTCAGAGTGAGAGTGAGAGTGAGAGAGAGAGAGAGAGAGAGAGAGAGAGAGAGACATGGTGTGAAATTTTTCAGACCTAGAGCTTCAAAGAAATGGGATAGAGCCTGGGAGCATAAAGAGATGAGCAGAGGGGGACAGCAAAATCATCCCACCCCCGGAAGGTGTTTGGTGACATTGCGGATTTCGATTTGAAGCAGTCAGTCAGCAGGGGGCACCTAAATATGCTAACGAGCTACCAGCAAACAGACATGCTTTAACACAGGGAGGGCAGATCTGCTGTCACTAAGCTGTGGAGGTCAAGGACCCTAACCCCACAAAAGGGACACAGGTACCAGTACCAGTTATATCAGACCACACTGCAGAAGAGGAGTGGACAGGGAAAGAAAAACAGGAACCAACACATATGTTCCAAAGCATCCCCTTCTACGAGCCACAAGGGATGGCTGCCATGACAGATGAGTTAGGATGAGCCTGGGAGACACTGACTCTCTTCTGGGGCTGGAGCAAAATGCTGGAGGAGCCTTAACGACTTGAGACTTAATGTTTACCTGCTGACACTGCACACCTCCTCATCCCTCCAGGCTAAGTGCAGTACAGCAGCTTCAAAGTCAGCCTCATGAAATGAACAGCAGCCCGGGGGCAGAGGAAATGCAGTGGGGAGAGGCCAGTGCCCCACTGATGGGATTATTCACCCCGTAAGAGCTGCAGGCAGAGAATCTGAAGATGCTGCCCTATATCCCCCCCCCAACAGTGACAGCGATCATGTGAAGGAGGATAAACTTCAGAGGAGGTGGGGGGTCCTGAGTAAGCCATGCGCTCGGGTAAGCCACTGTTCCCACCCTCTCCCACACCACTACCCAGAGGCTACTGTGAAAGCGATGTAGCTGATTGGCCTCTGTGATGGAGGATGTCTCCTAGCAACAGCTCCCCTCTCATCCCAACACAAAGGGCAAGAGGTGCGCACGTGCCACCCGCCTCGGCGAGCGGACCATGCCAGGCAGCGGCAGTCAATGAGGCTCAGCGGCCCGACAACATGGCTTTAAGTGGAGCGATCAGTCTCCAGCCATCTTTAAAATCCTATTTCTTTGATCTTCGAGTGACCTCCAAGAATCAACCACAGATGCCCACTGGTGATTTCTTGGGGGCCTGGCGTGCAGCTAATTGTGGCACCATCTGCGACGGTGTCCGGATCTGATGACAAGGCAGTCAACTGCAGCCAGCTCACGGCTCCGTGAGGCGGGGAGGCTGCCTGCCATCAGTGCCGCTCGCATGCTGCTCCGTTTAGGGGCTCATTCTCCTCCACTGTGTAAACTCATTCCTAGATGATATGGGTCTGTCCCCATATTTGCGGCGTGTACAATAGTCTGGCATCTCTCTCACCACCAGTCCCAGCAGCCTGTTGGAACTGGGTAGGGGGACCCTCTGGCTTTAGCCTGCTCCCATAGGCTCTATGGGGGTCTGTCCAAAACCAACACGGTCGCTCGTGCGAAAGACGTGAACAAGTCAGACAAAGACAAAGAGTGAGTACTGAGCCACGTCTAAGGGCTACAAGAAGCCACATGCCAGTGTGCCGTTCCCAGAAGGGAGCACATTTCAGGTGAATGAGGTCAGATGTACTCACTAGCTCTGCACCCACCTTCAGCCAGTATGTCTTGGTTTCGAAACCTCCACACAGTCTGTCACAATCGGTAGAACAGTAAAATGCAGGAAAACTGCTTCCACACACTCCCGACATGCAGCAAGTGCAGCGCCGGAGAGCATCAAGCACAAGGGAGTCTAACAGGAACCGTAAGGTGTGAGCCCAGCTCTGCCAATGTACCAGAATAAAACTGCCAGCAGACACAAAGCACGACCACAAATTTGACTGCGAATCAGCTGGATGGGGAAAAGGCTGAGAGTAATCTGCAGCAAGGATCATCACCCAGCAACAGTGAACAATGCATGACTGGAGCAAATGGGGGGGTCATAGCTGGAGAGTGATGATACCACCGAGAGAGAAAACAAATAGGAACCGTTATGGAAACATGCATCAACTGAGGATGGAGAACATGTCAGGAATCAATCAGCTCATGAATCAGCTTATGCCCAGCTGCTGTGTGAGGTTAAGGGCCTAAGCTCAGAACATTTCTGCCATGGCAGAACAAAAAGGTTGGGAAACACTGCCTTAAAGCATTCTTTAATACATTACTTTTACGTTTATTTCATTTGTGATGTTCATTGGGATGTTCGTGGGCAGTGGTGGCTTGATGGTTAGGGTAGCGCACTTGTAATTGAAAGATTGCAGGTTCGAATCCCCCACCAGCAAGTCACCACTGAGGTACCCTGAGCAAGGTACCGTCCTCAAGCACTGCTCCCCGGGCGCTGAATTAGCTGGGTGCTGAATTAGCTGCCCCCTGCTATGTCACGAAAGTCACATATGGGTCAAATGCAGAGGCCACATTTCGTTGTTGCGCACTGTGTGCTGTGGTGTGTTGACAATGACCACTGATCACTAAATTCTAATTCCTGGATAGATGATGGCCTCATCCTTCCCAAATCACAGAAGAGCCTCACAGAGGGCATCGTGCCTATCCTGCCAGCTCCGAGGTGTGTATGAAATGCAGAGTGCTCAACGCACTCATCTGCCAGAAGTGCATGACACAGCATGCGCTCTGCATGCAGGTCTGCCCCGAGGGAGAGAGACTGTCCCACACACTGACTCTGCGGTGGGCAGCCACCACCCCGTCTGGCTCAGCACCCCCCACAGAAACCCATTGCAGATGTCAGGGCACTTATGCCAGCCTGTGCTACACTTAACACTGCTAGCACTGCACATCCAGTCCAGCTAAACAGAATCCTCACACGCTCAGCGTTAGCACTATGGCCCAGTGGGACCTAGCCCCCAGCCCACAGCCAGCCCTATACTCACCAGTTTCTGAAATAGGTGGCCCACGGTCACCTTATCATCCCAGTGTTGAATGTGGGGGTACAGGGCGTCATAGAACTGCTTGTGGATCTCAAAGATGTCTTGGATCTTGTAGAAGATGGTCTCGATCTGCTGGTTGGTCAGGACCGGCTGGGATGTGGTGGCGGCGGCCTTGAGAGGTCGCATGGGCTGAGGAAATGAGAGCTACGTTAGCGAGAGCATTTCTGAGCCCGTTCTATGGCAGCATGCAGCTAAATACACCAAGGCTGCATACTGACTAAAAACCACAAACAGAAACCGATAAATCAAGAGGCTAAATCATGTGACTTTTTTCCTCCTATCTCTGAGCCTAAGAGTCATGTGGCTCAGGCAAAATTTATGGGCTATATCAATGTTTATATTTCCTTATCAAATGCACTCTCCCGAGCACAGAGAAATGCACTGGTGCATTTGTGTGTGCATGTTCACAATGGTGGTGGTGATGGGGGGGGGGGGGCAATTCAGACCCTCCCCATAAACTTCCAGAGAGCAGGAAGCCAAGACTGATTAAGCGGGAATGGCTCATGGATCAGCTCTGCAGCCTGCAGAGTGAAAGAGTGGCAGAAGTGATGGACAGCACCCCCCACCAGTGCCTCATGATGGAGACGGAGCAGTAGGAGGGCAAACGGGCCCGTCGCTTCCAAAAAGCAGGGAGAACCAATGGGTGAAATCATCACGCACCACCTGAACTTTCTAGTCATGGGTAGCACAGGGCTGATGTTCTGTATTTTATTTTGATACACAGCACAAAATGTTCAGTAACGTGGTGGTGGATAGACTGTCACAGACAGTGTGGTCAGCATGGAGGCAGCATGTTGCATAACTTAAGGTCACAAAACACAAAGCACATAACTAAAAATATAAGTGTGTCATATATTTAATGGGGAACAACAATTAGGACTCTAGGAAATAAAAATCCTTTTTTAAGGCAGAAGCAGTGCCACCAGTGGCAGAGTGAATCTCCACGGTTTGGCCAATCAGATGAGCTACAGGTAGAGCATAGCTACCATGCTACTCCATACTCCACCATGTTACCATGCCTTACTCTATCACATTACTACTATGCTGCTCCATATATTTATTTTTTCTACACCACCACCGTAGTGGTACTGCTATTCTATTGATTACAACATACTTCTGCTGACCCTACATCTGCCACCATTCTGTTCTTCACTGTAGTACACTAACAGTATACTACTGCCAGCGCTACACCACTACTACACTACTCCTTCACAAGTCACATCAGTAACTCCCACAGTTTACAGATGACATGTCCGCGGTTCATGTAGCCTCTGTCTTAGTGCCTCAATGCTGATTGATATTCCAAGCTCGTTTCTCTTCTGGGAATCCAACAGAGTGCAGTTTGAAGCATCGTCCAGCTCTTCTGCATAAATACTCTTGGTGAGCCAGCATATGTCTCTCCCCCCACTCTCCATTTCCTCCTCCTGCTTGATATAAATTCTCACCTCACATCATTTACGTGCGGCCAATGTGCTGCTGGGGGACAAGAGAGCATATCTTTGAGGCAGCTCTTTTTCAACACTTGGTAAGTAATTACATGCACTATTCACACATACGCCTTGATCTAAAATTACTGCAGTGAAAATAGGGTGTTTAGCGCTATATAATTGGAAAAGAATATAAAATAGTGTACTGACAGTCATTTTAACCACTTAGGCCACAGAGGGTGGGGCTATGAGTGTGTGCTCAATTGACAGCTGGTATACACCAAGCTGAGGGAGTCTCCTCTCTTATGGGATGTCAACAACCCCAAACTCCCTCGTACAGCTCACTGCCACAGGGCAGGACACCCCAGACCCGGTAACAGGCCTCACTCGGCAGGCTCTTGGCTGGGAGGCTGGGATACCCCAGAGCTGGTAGCAGGCCTCCCTCGTCCAACTCACTACCACAGGGCGGGACACCCCAGACCCGGTAACAGGCCTCACTCGGCAGGCTCTTGGCTGGGAGGCTGGGATACCCCAGAGCTGGTAGCAGGCCTCCCTCGTCCGGCTCTTGGCTGGGAGGCTGAGATACCCCAGAGCTGGTAGCAGGCCTCCCTCATCTGCCTCTTGGCTGGGAGACTGGGATACCTCCGAGCCGGTAGCAGGCCTCCCCCAGCTTTAGACAAACAGCGGTTCTGGGTTCCTAAGAGGATACCCACCCATCAGACCGAGACTGATCCTTTGTCTCAGCGTTTAAGTGTGGAAAATAAGAGAAACTGAGGATAGCATAAAGCAGAGATTTGACAGCTGGGGCGCTAGAGGAAAGGAGCCTTGGTGGAGGGGGGACATTAGTTAGTTCCACTTGACCCACATGGGCCCCAGCCTCCTTCAGATTCACTCCTTGATATTTTGGCCCTTAAATCACACTGCTGCTGCAGAGTATTCAGCAGAAGAGCTTTAATGGTAACCTGTAGCGACCACGCATCTAAAGAGGACATCGTGCCCCATGCAACACAGACGTATACACCGAAACACTCTGAACGTCTTTCTTCTGTTATTTCTTGGCAGCATGGAACAACCTGCTTAGAACCATCTTAATGTTTCTCTGCAATTCAGAGCATTTCATGGCATGTGTTTTCTGTACCAGCATTAACCAGGCATATTATGTGAATCTGCAGCACACTGGTACGATGTGTGGCATGATACGGATTCATCTGACAGCATCAGTGCACAGAAACCTGAACAGTGCTCTGCCGACACCTGGCAAATTCTGAAGGTGATATGGTGGCTCAGAGCCACCCAGTTTCTACACCGGGAGGGCTGACGGCCACTGCATCAGAACTAGGGCCTGTGTTAGCAGGCTGAGTGAGCCTTTCCCATATACCAGATCACACCACGCTCCCAGCCTTAGTGAAAATGAGGCTCAGGTGACACCTTCCAAATTGCACAGTTTAACCAGACGTGCTACAGGTTAATCGGCTAATGCTAAGCAACCATGCTAATTGCAGACGTGTTGCTGGGATAACCTTGGTTGTCAGCATTCCCGCAGTATCACTCCAAGATTCTTACAATGCTGTGTCCAAGTGGCCTGGCATGATTGGCTGGGGCGGCGGTGCTATCACTCTGCCTACACATTCCACAGGGCCCTCACCTTTAAAAAAAAAAAAACGCCTCAAGAGATAAAGGGAAACACGACACCTTTCTTCTCTGCAGCACTGCTGATATCCCTTTAAGGGACTTCATATTAGCTAGGGCACTTTTAATGGGGGGAAAGAACTACTTTAAAGAGGAAATTACATCACAATTTGCAAGAGGAAATAAACAATTTTGATGGAATTTTAAGCTCTTTCGGGAAGAGCCCCTGGATTCTGCCATAACCCTCTGGAGTCGGCGATCCTGTTGGCGGGATCTGACAGAAATTTCACCAAACCGTTTAAATAACTCTATTTAAACTAAATATAGAAACTAAATATATTTTTACAGCTTGGTGATATGAATAGAAAGAACAAGAGTGACTGACTTAAGCGTCTGCGTCTCCAAGCAGCTCTGATCGCCTTCCCACTTGCAAAACGCACTATTCGCATAATAATAACAACATGATAATCCGACAGTTAGTATTGGATAAAGAAATATGTGAATACGCCCATTGTGACCGAAATAAACAAGAGCACATGTCTGGGTAGTGTTTACACTGATCGGCTACAATATAGCACACGGATACGTCTCTGCCGCTTGAAGCTTTGCGCCAGTGTTGCCACTTTCAGCAGCGAATCGCATACCTGTGTTTATGGCTCAGTGGGCTAAGCCTGTATGCCTGTAATCATACGGTCGCCAGTTCAAACCCAGCCTATTTAGAACGTGAATAGCGGATCTTCAGCTGAGAGCGGTACTACACGCTCCCGATGCAAGTAAAACAAAGAAAGATGATACGGTTTGCTTTTTTGCCTATTTAACCTAATTTTAAAAACTTTAATACTTCCGACAATGGAAGTTTTGAAAAGAAGACAGATTATGGATTTAGCCTGTTTTTTTCATGATTCTACATAATGATTTCAGCGAGATATAAACTGAAATACACAAGAGATACGCGGTCGACGATGCCATCGTCCCTAGAGCTTTAATAATAGTCCCTGCATCATATTTATCGCTTTCTATATTTATATGGTCACAGTTTTTCATTTTTCATTCCATCTACCAATAAACTGTGAAAGGGATTTTATTGTTGCTACTTTTCTTGCGTTTCAAACTGCCTTTCCAAAGTGATGGGTGTGGAGTGCAGTGACATTCCAGACTGATGGGCCATTGACAGTATGCAAACTACTACAGGTGTGAGGACACCTGTCTCATCAATATTCATTGTGAAGGCCACTGACTTTGAGAAAAAGAGTGTCACTCCAAAGTTCTAACACTTTAGTAATCAAACCACATAAAATTTCAGAATGTCTCTTTCACCTATGTGTAGCCAACCCCTGTGTCTATAAGCTTCAGAGCTCAAAAGTCTTGGCTACAAATGTCTATAATGTGATTTTTTTACAATTTCTCAGCATGTCTGAAAATAGGTTTTTGAAAAGTATATGTTAAAGTTGATTTTAACAAAAAATACAATAATAACATTTTAAGTGGTCTCAGATTATTGGTGCTGAGTTTGTGCTGGATAAAAGCAAATGTAACACTTCGGGATAAATGTTTTTTAGATTAAATATTTTAAAATGTCAAGGCATGTCAGACTACCCTGAAGGTGGCTGAGAGGCCGCAGACTCCAGAGGGTCAAGGTCACAAACTCGGAGCCCTAAGAAATAACCTGGACAATAAAGATTCCATAAAACATCATGACGCAGCGGGTTTCTTACTGCAGCTCTGCCAAGGCCCCTCTTGTGAAACCAACACCCCCAGAGGAGCTCGCTCTGCTGTCTCCAGTCTGGGCACTTACCAGGAGCAGGGCCTCCAGCTGGTTGATGTAGATCTCCTCACTGGCCAGGAACCCTGAAAGCACCAACTTCTTCATCTCCAGCCCCTTCTCGATGTCAGCCTGTGTGGGGGAAAGAGAGTGGATGCGACTTCAGGAACAGGCACAGGCAGCGGCGGGGCGGGGGGGGGGGCTTCACGTATACTCCAGTAGTCATAGCAATACTTTATTTTGCCTTTTGTACAAGTAACAGGTAAACAGGGATAGATTAATTTCAGAGAGCAAGAATAAATATGGGAACCAAAGCATTGCTATATATCTGGTGAAAAGTCTCATGCTACATCAGGAAGAGTGAAGCACTGTTGGTGTTCAGCAGCCCAGAGGCCCCCACCGCAGGGATACCCTTTATCGGTGCCCTGCTCTGACTCTGGCCGCCTCTTTTTCTTCCCCTCTCTATATTTGCACACTAATAGGTCAGAGTCCACACTTAGCACTGCACTCCGCTAGAGAGAGAACACCGCCCAGGCGCCCACCCTTCCTGTTCATGGGGCCGGCAGGTGGGTCACAGAAAGGCGCGGAGGCCCTGGGCATAAACACTCAGCCAGGCAGCTACATGCCGTACTGTGAACCATACGGGCCTAATGGTGACGTCACTCTGCTGACTTTGAGATTTGATGTAGATCTACTCGCTGGCCAGGAACAGACCAGGTTCTTCATCTCCAGCAGAGTCCTAACCCGCTGTCACATAACCACATACAAAACTACTGGAACCCAAATGTAGATGGACCACACAACCGAATGATTTTACAGTACACAAAGATTAATAAGGACAGTAATCAATGAAATACAGCACGGCGAAAGCAACCATGGCACTCAGGCTATCCAACGCAGCCAGTATCCATTAATCATTTACTCTGACCATTCAGGAAAGGGAACAGGTGAGAGAGATAAGATCAGCAAGCGATGACTGAGGGTGCAACGCAGGACCACTAACCAGACACGTCCTCACCACACACCGTGCCAAACAATCATTTATACAGGTTTCAAAACAAACCACAGCTCAGAGAAAACAAAAAAAAAACACACTCAGACCCTCAGAAACATCCAGGCGCCTCAGATCAGCTCAATGAGTGACATTTTACATTTATAAGGAAGAGTAAACAGCACGTTCACCCCAGGAGTGCAAGGCAGATTCATTACACAGGGGGACCAGATCGCAGCCACGAATGACAGATCGCACTGGGGGGACACGTGTCAGGTAGGAGTCAGGGCTAGGTGGGAGTCAGAGGGGTCGGGCAAGGCCAGAGTCAGTGGCGCATGAGTAAGTTGGAGTCAGAAGTATCGGAGACAGGCACGAGTCGGACGAGTCGGAGTTCAGTGGGAATCAGAGGACCCTCTCCACTCTCAGCCCTTCATTATTGTTGCCCTGATGCTAGCAACAGACATGTGCAATGAGACGAGTGCCATCCCCAAGTGGCACAGCTCAGCCTGTGTGGCTGTATTTACACGTGGGGGGAGCACCAGCCTTTAGACATTTTCCAGCCACTGATTCACCTCTAAGAGGGACTGCTGGTCAGGCGCCGAGCCAGGCAAGAATATGGGGAAAAACAGCTAAGCGAGATGATCTGTGTGGGAGGGACTGCCTCCTACCTTCTCTATATGGGGACAATAGAGTGGCCTCGATGTTCCTGTGAGTCCCCTGGTAAGGAGACTGTAAGAGTGGTACAGCTACTGGCCCCTGATCACCACAGGACCATGGCAGAATCCACGCCGACAATGGCAGACAGATAAAATTAAAAACGAGAAGTGCTCTTAAGGAAACCACTGTGTGGCAACATCAGCGGCGTGTCCCGCCTGTGAAATGACGGACTTCAGGGACTGGTGAGCTGTGTGGCACATAATCCGGCATGTCGTGCCTTGAACAGGACCACGCTAACTGCAAACGCGTGGCACCGGGGCTCGGGAGTGCCACACGGGCCATGCTATGCTATGCTACACCACGCGGCTTGAGTTTTCAGCGTTCTCTGCTCTGCTATTTTTAGTTACGGCGCTGCAGCAAAAGCCTCAAAGCTCAAGCAGAAGTCAAAGTTTTCACACGTATTTTGGTGTCCTTTCCATGGTAGCATGGCTCACCTTAAAGGGCCGGAGGCTCAAACAGTTCTCCTCCGGCATCAGGGTACTTTCCAAGTCCAACTCCACACTGTCGAATACATCTTCATCATCCAGCACCCTATCCAGGAAGCTGATGACCTCGTCCTCCTCCTCCATGCCCGTCACGGTGTGCTGTGCCAGTCGGGGTAGAACATTGGTGCCGTGGAGCTCAGAGGTCTCTCTCAAATTCTTGCTTGTGGCCGAGCCACTGGGCTACGCCTACCCGAGACCGACCCCACTTCTCTCTCTCTCTCTCTCTCCCTCTCTCTCTCTCACTCACTCACTCACTGCCAGCTCTGTCTCCCTTCTTTGAAACTCCACCTTACTAAAACACACCCACTCTAGCCACAGGGGCCGGCAAAGGCGGCACTGGCGGTGGTAGTGGTGATGGGGGAGGAGGTCCTTTCCCAGTCTTCCTGTTCTGTCAGCGTCCATGACAGCAGCAGTGGCAGCAGCCAGTTGGTCAGAAAGACCCCCCCCCCATCCCTATCCCCTCCCCCACACAGGCAGCCACTTCCTCAAAGTGTTTTTCTTGCCTTGTGGAAAACAGAGGCCCTTTTCTGAGAGAGAAACGTGTAACTGGTGTTGGCCCGTTGTTGGTTCACAGTCAGCCATCCTGTCCAGCCAGGCAAGGTGCCACTCTCTGACTCTTTCCAAACTTCACCCCAGCCAGTGGTGCAGCACAGGGTGGATGGACACAAAGTCCCCCTTCTTTTGGGACAGTAGACTTCGCAGAAACACCCCTCTGATGCAGAGTTTACCCAAGAGATCAAGTCACACACACCGCCCCCCCCCCCCCCCCCCCCCCCCGGAACTCCTGCATCACCTGCCACGTTGCAGGAGAGAGAGAGCACAGTAAATGCCTACCACACTCAAAGTCCATGAGTACTGGGAAAATACGCTACGGGACAGAAAGTATGTGATACAATTATGGTCTGTCTACAGCCCCACGTGCAGCAGGATGAATATTATATTAATTAGCAGGAGTGCAATAAGGTAGACAGAGTGACGTAAGACTGCCGTGTGGTGTTTCAGCAATGTGACAGATGCCAAGGTGGACGGTGTAAACACAGAAGTGCCGAGATCAGCTGTGGAGGATGAAGCAGGGCCCCAGGGACACAAAGCAGTGACCTCATGTGGAAAAGCCCTTTAGTGTATACGAGTGTGACGAAGACAGGGTTAGGGTTTGTGCGCATGGGGTATAATTAAACATGCTACGCAGACAAAGAAATGGCCTTGAGAACACCACCGCAGAAATGCAGATATGGGGTCCTTATTTTAAGCATGATTAACTAGCTTCAGCCTTTATACAAATGAGGAAGTGGCAACCTGGTCAGGGCAGACACCCTGCTGGAGCAAAACAACCTAACATTGCTCAGGGAAGTGAACTTTAAAGCAGACCAGTGGTCTTGCAAGGCAGGGGGTAGCGTAACAAGCAGGCCACTGCACTGTGACCACAAAAGCGGCTAGGAGGGGCCTTACTGTCACATCACCAAGAAACCTAATCGGCATTGTGTCAGTGATGCTACTGAGCTACCAACCTATTTACATCCCTGAAGCAAGTCGATAACTGTCCGGAGTTGGGGCGTTCATCACCATGTAAATGATAGTGGAGTAAATCACTGAGTAGGTTAGGGGAGTATATCCTGGAGAAGGATACAGGATAGAGGAGTATATCCTGGAGAAGGATACAGGATAGAGGAGTATATCCTGGAGAAGGATACAGGATAGAGGAGTATATCGGCAAGAAGCGTATGGGATAGAGGAGTATATCACCAAGGAGTGCAAGGGATAGAGGAGTATGTAACAGAAAAGAAAATGGGATAGAGAAGTATGTCACAGTAAAGCGTAAAGGGTATAGGAATACGTCAGAGAAGAGCAAACAATGAAAGGGACAAAGGAGTATATCTCGAATTAGAGTAACAAGAAAGGAGTATATCACCAATTAGTGTAGAGATGAAGAAGGAACCTGCTTAAGTGCATAATTCTTGTCACGCACAGCACCTTAACAGAAGGCAGTTGCTATGTGTAGGTGGGTGGTTGCTAGGTCTTCAAATAACAGGAAAAACCTAAATGAATGCATGATGTAATTCTTCCAATTATAATTACACATTCCTGAATAAAAACATAATTACCTTGACCTTGCTTGTCCCCCTACCTACATCAACAACTTTTGACTGAAAGTCTGCAGTTATAAACTATGTGGACAAAAGTATTGGGACAAACCTCTCAATCACTGAATTCAGGTGTTTCATTCAGACCCATTGCCACAGGTGTATAAAACTCAAGCACCTCGCCATGCAGTCAGGTCCACAGACATTTGTGAAAGAACGGGTCATTCTGAAGAGCAGTGAATTCAAGTGTGGTACAGTCATTTGGATGCTACCTTTGCAGTAAGTCAGTTTGTGAAATTTCTTCCCTGCTACATATTCCACGGTCAACTGTAAGTGGTATTATTGCAAAGTGGAAGCATTTAGGTACAACAGAAACTCAGCAATGAAGTGGCAGACCATCACGTAAAGTAACAGAGCCAGGTCGATGAATGCTGAGGCGCATAGTGCCTAAAAGTTGCCAACACTCTTGTCTCAGTAACTGCAGAGTTCCAAACTTCTTATGGCATTAATCCCAGTGTAAAGAGTAAACAATGTACTGTGAGCTTCATGGAACCGGCTTCCATGGCCAAGCAGCTGCATACAAGCCTCTCGCATCACCAAGCGCAATGGCAAGCGTCGGACGGAGTGGTGTAAAGCTTGCCTGGAGCAGTGGAAACATCTTTTGAGGAGTGATGAATCACGCTTCTCTGTTTGGCAATCTGATGGATGATCCCTGGGTTTGGCGGATGCCAGGAGACCGTTCCGTGCCTGACTGCATTGTGCCAACTGTAAAGTTTGGTGGAGGAGGGATAATGGTTTGGGGTTGATTTTCAAGGGTTGGGCTACGCCTCTTCACTCCAGTGAAGGGAACTCTTAATGCTTCAGCATCCCAAGTCAATTTCATCAATTCTATGCTTCCAACTTAGTAGGAACAGTTTGGGGAAGGCCCTTTTCAGCTACAGAATGGCTGTGCACCACTGCACAGAGCAAGGTCCGTAAAGACATGGTTGGGTGAAATTGGTGTGGAAGAAGTTCACTGACCCACACAAAACCCTAACCTCAATCCCTTCGGGATGAAATAGAATGGAGATTGCGAGCCAGGCCTTCACGTCCACCACAAATACCTCACAAATACTTTTGTGGATGAATGGGCTAAATTCCCACAAACACATTCCATAAACATAGAAAGCCTTTACAAAGAATCGGTAGTAGCTGACTGCCTTCACAAAGTAGCTGCAAAGGCAGGATCAACTCCATATTGATTCCAATGGATTTCAAATGTGATGTCATAAAAGTTTCTGTTGGTGTAATGGCCAGGTGCCCCAATACTTTTGTCCATATAGTGAATTTCAAGGGAAACAAATTTATGCAGAGTATTTTCTAGTTGCTACCACTAGATGGCAGCATACAGTGCATATTGCACAATTCAAAATTGTTTTGGTAAATCCACTGCAGATTAACAAAGAAATCCACATGACGCTTCACTAGGTAAGCATATCTGGAAATACATGGACAGAATAATGGAAAAGAAATAAAGAGTTTGTCTTTCTCTGGAAGGACATCTCCAAATAGATAAAACCATAGGAGGAATCACCAGTGGTAACAGTGATCATTGATTTACACAAAATGATTCATTCTAGTCAGTCTATTTGCACAAATAAGGCCAATTTTGAATGTTACCCAGGTCTAAAAAAACAAAAAACTGACAGTTTAAACTGTATACATGAATTTCTCAGACTTGCTTGGAATGAAACACAAACATCAAGCCAGGCATTAGTCTACAAAGTCAAGTGTCCGTGCTGTCCATTGTTCTGCATATAGAACTCTCTGGAAAACCTTCTCAAGGCCTTGACTCAACAGAGTAAATTCAAATGCTCTGAAGTGAAAAAAAAAGTCAGTTTATTACAAATCTTAACATTACTTTTCCAGACGACGACATAAAATGAGGTTTTCGACACAGCAGTTAGCAGCCAGGAGTTTAGTTGTGAAAACAGAGAGTACAGTCAGCAGAATTTTCCAATGCAGCACATAAACCGAACAAACCACAAGGGCTTTCCATTCATGTCTCCATCAAATGGTGGAAGAGCTGCAAACGGTCACTTTGGTGGTTTCTTATATCCCACTTCTCTCTAACTCACCTACAGAGACGAGGGCTGTGTGCGAATAACTTTAAAGTATGCAGCAAGCCACCACAATAACTGCAATCCAGAGGATTCAGCAAAGATGTGCCTCTTTCCGGACTCCTTGCTTCAAAAAAGTCAGAATGACACTGATACAAATGCAAATACCAGCACCAATAGAGACTTGATGAGCCCACCAGTTAAGAAGCTCATGCGTGTCCCCGTCGACGGCAATCACTAGTGTCCAAATGCCACACCTATCGACCAGAAGGCAGGAGCTCTCCTAATCATACCACTGGCAACTAATTTCTCTCGTCTTACAATTTTGATTAACATTCATTCATATTTATATGTGATGTAATCATCATCATCTCATCATGAATAATTTATATATAGATACAGCCGGTCCCCTTTCAGAGGGAGTGAATAATTCCAATTTAATGAGATGCTTCCGTACTGATAGAACGGCTAGTGGCTGCACCAGCACCTCCACTGGAAAGGCGGCCAGCAAGAAAGGAAGCACATTCTTCCCCCTCAAATACCTCAGATTTTGGGTGCATACAGCAGTATTGGGAAATAACTGACAGGAAGAGAGGGGTTCAGGGAAATTCTGGGGGAGAGGGAGGGTAGGCTGAAAGAGATTCCTGTGAAAGAGACACCTGCCTCTCATTGTGAGGCAGAAAGGGGGCGGACCCAAATGTTCCTGTGCTCACTAAAAGGACAGCAGTGACGGGGCGCTGTCCCGCCCAGAAGCATAGCACGGTGGTGGTTGTGTGTCACTTTCTTTGTTATTTTCTCCATTATCCGTCCTGACTTTGTGATGCCACACTGTCAGACAAGCTTGTTGAAGAACCCAACATTAACGGAGAATAGCTGAGTACAGCCCCCTCCCCTCCCCCACCCAGTAAAAAGAAGGCTGGCTATGCAATTACCCAGAATGCCACGGAACACAGACTCACCTCAGGCAAAAGGCCCTCAGGGGGTGTGGGGGACACGGCTTCGCCATCAGGGCCACGGGCACAGAGTTGGGGGGACATGGTGGGTGACTCGTCGATAAAGGGCATGGTCTCTGAGCCGTCCTGGGACTTGCGGTCCTCTGTGGCATCGCCATCATAGCCGTCTGTGTTGTAGTTGAAGTCTGGGGGAGAAGGGGGATAGAGAAGATCATGAATGATAAATTGGTAAATTGGGAGGGGGGCATGCACACAAAACACTTCCAGGGAGCAATACCACAGACCCCGCCCTGACATCAAAGAATTCCCCAGCTCAGGGGGGCTTGGATTGGGCCTGAACCATTTACACTGCAAACGCAATTCAAACCACATTTCAGTAATCAAAAACAAGGAAAACCCCAAACATTTATCATGAACAAAAACCAATCAAATGGTGTTTCTCCACACAAAGCAGGTCATTAGAAGTTTACAAGCCTGGTTTGCTCCTTGCCTTCGTTCTCAACTGATTTGCAGGACTGTCTTGGACATAAGGGTCCATATAGCTCAAAGGGGGTCCACATAGCTTAAAGTTAAAGTGAACAAAAAGTAGTTTTATACAAACATAATAATAATAATAAACAACAAATATAATATATGGTAATAGAACAGAAATGGAACAGAATAACAGTGGATCCCCAGGACTGGAGTTAAGAACCACTGTTTAATTATTGGCTGATTGAGAGATCATCCCAAAATCCCGCACCCACACCGGCCCTCCATGGAACAGGTTGGCCTGGGGGCATAGACTGTTCCAGAGTCTGGATGTTCTGGTATTAAGACTCCTGTACCTATTGCCAGACTTCATCATAGCGAGGATTGGGTGGCTGCGATCGCTGATGACACTGCTGTGATAGATGTCCTGCGGTGAAGGGAGATCTCCGAGGTCCCTGTGATTCTCTGGGCTAACCTGATCACCTGCTGTAGTGACTGTCCTACCAACAACCATAGCTGACACAAAGTGCTGTACATTGGAGCATTGGAGCGAGAAAAGAAAAACAAAAAGAAATACAAGGTCAGATAACTAAAAGAAAACCAAGTCCTGCTGGGGCCAAAAGCCAAAGCATAAAAGCGAGTTTTAAGACGTGATTTAAAGGTGGACAGTGAGGGGGCCTCTCTAACGCGCAAGGGCAAGCTATTCCATAATTTGGGAGCAACGACAGAGAAAGCCCTATCTCCTCTGAGCTTCCCCCTGGTTCTCGGTACTTCCAGGAGCAGCTGACCAGCTGACCTGAGAGTCCGAGCAGGAGTGTAGGGGTGGAGGAGCTCAGAGAGGTAAGGCGGTGCAAGATTGTGAAAAGATTTAAAAACAAGCATAAGAATTTTTAAATTAACTCTAGAATATACAGGCAGCCAGTGCAGTGAGGCCAGACAGGGGTTATGTGCTGTCTTTTATGAGTCCCTGTAAAAAGTCGTGCAGTGGCATTTTGAACCAGCTGTAGATGCGAGAGTAACGACTGACTGACTCCCACATAAATTGAGTTACAGTAATCCAGACGGGATGAAATGAAAGCATGGATCACAGTTTAAAAATGTTGCCTAGAAAAAAAAAAGTTTACGTTTGCCAGTCACCTTAAGTGATAAAAACTGGACTTAACTACGGCTCTAACTTGACTGTCCAACTTAAAATCACTGTTCAAATTAACACCAAGATCAACAATAAGAGATTTACGATACGCTTCCAAGGGTCTCACATCAACAGGGGAGGACTCACAGGGGCCACTGGGTCCAAACACCATCACCTCTGTTTTCTTTTCATTTAAATTTAAAATGTTTGAGGCCAACCAAGCTTTAATGTCATCTAGACATGCCGAAACAGGTTTTATGGAGAGTGCATCCTTCTGTTTCAACGGTAAATAAATTTGGCACTCATCAGCATAACAATGAAATGAGATACCATGCCTTCTAAGGATGGAACCTAGAGGCAGTAAATACAAGGAAAACAGCAATGGCCCTAAAATTGAGCCCTGTGGGACACCACATAAGAGAAGCAGCTGATGATTCTGAACTGTGAAGGTTCACAGAAAAAGTTCTATCTGCCAGATAAGACCTAAACCATTTAAGTGCAGTGCCACCAATGACAACTAGGTGACGTAATCGTGACATTAAACTCTTGTGGTCGACTGTATCAAAGGCAGCAGTTAAGTCATGCAAAACTAGAACAACATGGTTACCAGAATCACATGCAAGGAGAATGTCATTAGAAACCCTTAATAATGCAGATTCTGTGCTATGAAGGGTTTTAAAGCCTGACTGAAAAACCTCTGTAATGCTGTTCTCATCCAGAAAAGATTTTAGTTGACAAAATACAATTTTCTCTAAAACTTTAGAAAGAAAAGGCAGCTTGACAATAGGCCTGTAATTAGCCAACACAGTATGGTGAAGGCCAGGTTTCTTAAGCAGTGGCTGCACTACTGCATGTTTAAAATTAGCAGGAACCACAGCAGAGGACAGATTGCCGTTAATAATGGCCAGAACAGACTGCCCTATGCTAGTCCTGTGCAGTACAGCTGCAGAACCACACAGCAATGCAGCAGGCTGATATGCCTTCCACAGCACCTTAATGTGAGCCTTCAATTAATTAAGCAGGTGCACCAAATTCTTTGACCATTTTAGATCCTCGCTGATGTATACAACCAGGAACTTGTAGCTGTCCACTTTCTTTACCTCCAATCAGCAGTGGCACGTGATGTCACTTGCTTCTCCTTATATCCTCAACCATCTTCTTGGTCTAGCAGATGTTCAGTGTGAGGTTGTTAGTCTCACACTATGTGACCAGGTCTGACACTTCCCCCCTCTCATAATTGCCAGTGATCAGGCCAACAACCGTTGTATTACCCACAAACTTGAAGATGATATCCGATCAGGCTGCAACAGCCTGTGAAATGGAGGCTACGGCCATGATGGGGGTCTGCATGCTGGATATCTCTGCCTGATAGGTGATGGGGATGCTTGCTCAAGGGAGATTGCACTGCTGGAGGAGGGTCAGTGTGCAGTGGCTACATTTCCCTGATACCATCCTTACTAACCAAGAGCAGCCGCAAGCATTTGTAAGAAAGTGCAGTGGATATAGAGAAGGAGTTGCATTGCATGTCAGTTGCTGACCAACGTTTTCAATTCTGATAAATGGCTTTGCCCGGAACTTACTGGAAAGCTGCAAGTGCGTAAATCAGTCGCTCCGGCTACCACGTCATTAAACCCTGCTGGCACTTCAGCTTATATTAAAAAGAGGAACATCACGAGAGATTCATCCACCCATCTCCAGACCACGTCTTGCTGAAGGCTGTGGTGATTGAGATACAAAAAGATGACACGGCCAGAAGGCTGAATGTGCTTCGCCTGTCACAATTAATGAATTCACTTCCAGACCAACAGGCTTCCCCTGAAACACTTCAGAATATGACATCAGCTGCTAGGAAGACATAAGGTAGGAGGAGGCGTTTGGCAGGTAGCCGAAGCGATGAACACCAGCACGGCATGCGCAGCTCACAATGATACCTCTGAAGGAACAAAAAATCTACGTAATTTAGCAAAAAAGGCCACGTTGACCATGTTCTTATTAGGCAGATGGTACTGTGCTGACAAGTGGGGGGGGGGGGGGGGGGCTGGCCGGGGGTATGGGAACAGGAAATGTTTTGAAAGATGGAGGGTATACCAGAAGAAGATGACGAACAAAAGCTTTCAGTATGCAGCTAAGCACAAAGCTCCCACCTCCCAACAGAGTCTGTGAGAAATCGAGCTTGCTATACTACTACTGGTTGGGGGGGGGGGGGGGGGGGGGGGGGGGGGGGCATTTGAGTGACCGGAAAGGAAGTACCACAGCCACAAAGGAAGCCCACCAAGCTTCTAAAAGAGAGACCCTTTTAATGCACAACTCTGTGTACAGGCTCATCCATTCATCACCTCCCATAAATGCTTATCTACTGCAGGGTTGCAGAGAATCTGAAGTGCATGTCAGGAAGCATATGGGACAAGGCAGGGGACACGACGTGTGGGGTGATCACTCCACTCCATTATATGAAGAGAACTCACACACGTACAAGTGCCCACAACATGCGATTTTAGAGGCACTAATTCTGCACTTCTGGCCACTGAAAAGTCTTACTAGGTTCTTGCTTTGTTGGGAGGTGGTATGCAGCTCATCTCCAGTGCTTATATTTGCGCCCAAGCATTCATTAGAGGCTCAGCATAGCTGTACTTGTGGCTAGTCGACTCCTTGACAGCACGGATGTCGGCTGCAATGTCCTATTTGCCTCACATGTACGTCGCTATGAACATCTGCTAGATAAAAAAAAATAAAAAATTCACCAAAAGCACATGATGTTAGACTGGAGTAGGACATAAGCACAAAAGACTGCAGTTAGAAAAGACAAACCCCAGAAATAGAGCCAGGGCCGGAGTGGAATCCATTAGCCAGCAGTGGCTACAAAATCAGCTAGTTTTAAACAGAAATAATCAGCAGCCCAGGTGTAGACACCGCAAAAGCAATGGGCCTAAATACTAATAACCAAGCCATGCAGTCTACACAGTGTGATAACTTAAGCAAACGAATGCCGGTGTCTGACACTGACTTCACATATTCCCTCTAAACAAGCCCACCTGTTGAATCGTTTTCAGACTTTTTGATGGGGTATATTCCATTTAATGACATACGGATATTCATTGCGAGTTCCAGAGGGAGAGCACCCTCCTGACACCTCAGGAAATCAGAGAGGTCGATGAGGAGAGTCAGCAGCATGGTCTTCCAGCCGATGAGATGAAATTAACCCAAAGCATGGAAGTTTCACACCACCATAATACATGCGGCCCACAAAGTGAATAGCTGAGATGGACCACTGCAATATTACAGCCTCCGCAATTCTAATAAACCATGCTGTCTTACTTGTTTTCACAGTGCTACTGCACTTCTGTTGTCAACTAACTTGTATGCTGTTAGCTGTCCTCTGTATCATGTGTCTGAACCAGTATTCGACTAGCCATTGTAACATCTCAAACCGTGAGCTATGTGCCATTATCAGTCGGTCAGCTGCATGGCTAACAGAACATAAAATCTCTCTTCCTCTTTGGTGTAATGGCTCCTCAAGTTGAATACGAGTTACTACTTCCACAAACACAATGTATGAGACTTGGGTAGGGGTGTAACGGTACG